GGGTTTGAACCGCAGCCTTCTGGTTAGCAGTCAAGTGCCCTAGGCACTACGCTACCAGAGCTCCCCGATAACAACGCTTAGCAAAATGAAAATAGGAGGGAAATTCCTCAACATAATTAAGGTATATACAAAAAAAAAAAAAAAAAGTCTATTTATTCTCAATGGAGAGACACTGAAAATAGTCCCTTTCAAATGGAAACCAAACAAGGATGACCTTTATCACCACTCCTATTCAATATTATATTGGAAGTCCAAGCCAGAGCAATAAGGCAAGAAAGGGCCATAAAGACATCCAAATTGGCAAAGAAGAAGTAAAACTACCACTATTTGAAGATGATGATTCTATACATAGAAAATCCCAGAAAACTATTGGAACTATTAGAAGGATTCAGCTAAGTGGCAGTCTACAAGATCAACATAAAAAATCAGTTGGATTATTCTACACTAACATACGGAACTCTGAAAAGGAAATCAAGAAAACAATACCATTTAAATCTAACCAGAGATGCAAAAGGCCTTTACAAAGCAAAGTACAAAACACTACTATGAGAAACCAAAAGAGACTTATATAAATGGAAGAATATACCAAGCTCATGGATAGGAACACTTAACATTCTGAAAATGTCAATACAACCCAAAGCAATGTACAGCTATAATGCAATCTTGATCTAGATTACATCATCATTCTTTTAAGAAATGGAAAAACTAATCACTTTATATAGAAGGAAATATGCTCCAGATAAGCAAAGCAACCTTACAGAATAATGATGAATCTACAAAACACTTCATAGCATAGATGAACCTGGAGAACATTATGCTGAGTGAAATCACAAAAAGACAATTTTATGAGACCTGTATGGTAAAAAGGCAAGAAAAGGTTTACATATAGAAAGAAATATTCTTTGAAGGTTACTGCTATGGTTCTCTAGTGCTGCTGTAACAGTTGTTGTTGTTGTTATGTGCCATCAAATCGGACCTGACTCATAGTGACCCCTCCTTGGTTTCCGAGGCAGTATCACTATAGAAGTAGATTGCCCAACCTTCCTTCCAAGGAGTGGCTAGTGGGTTTGAACCACCAGCCTTCTGGTGAGCAGTCAAGTGCCTTAGGCACTTTGTTACCAGAGCTCCCAATAAAAAGATCACAAATATTTGGCTTTAACAAATAGGGATTTATTCTGTTACCATTTAGGAGGCTAGAAGTCGGAGTTCAAAGTGCCAGCTCTAGGTTTAGGTGAAGGCTCCTTGACCCTGGGCTTCAGCTCTGCCTCCTGCTCCCAGCCCACTGAAGCTGGAGATGTCTATTAACTCAAGCAGCTGCTGGCTGCTGAAGCTGACAAACCCAAGGTAGACAAGTAAAATGGCGCAGTCCCAAAATTATCAAGCAACATGGCAGTCCACTAGTTCAAGTCCAGAAACAGTCTCAAGATAGGCACACAACATGGCAGACCACTGAGATGAAGACTCGGCCAATGCAGAATCCAAACCAAACCAAACCAAACCCACTGCTGTTGAGTCAAACCTGACTCACAGCAACCCCTCTTTGGTTTTCCAAGGCAGTATCACTACAGAAGTAGATTGCTCAACCTTCCTTCTGAGAAGTGGCTGGTGGGTTTGAACTGCCAGCCTTCTGGTTAGCAGTCAAAAGCCTTAGGCACTATGCTACCAGAGCTCCTATGCATGATCCAGGTGTGCCCAAAAGCTCAAAACCTTTCTTAAAGCAACATGTAATATACTAGAAGCAGATCACATCACTAAGGCAGCTATTCAGCTGCTCCAGTAGATTCCACCATAGAGCTGATTACCAGTATCACAGTGAATAACTATATCCAGTTGCCCACCCACCCAAAACCAGGACCAGCCAAATTGACACATAACCTTAACTACTACAAGTCAGTATGGGTGGGAGGGGAAGGGACAGTAAATTTGTAACTAGAGGGTGGTCACGTATTAACCTGGGTGAAGGCAAAGGCAATATATAATAAGTGGGAGGTAAGCATAACATTATAAAGGCAAAGGAAGAGAGTAGAAGGAGCACAAGAATTAAAGGCAGCAAATGTATATACTATTACATACACATTTCTGCAATAACAGTAATTGCAATAATCTATGAGTGGATACACAGAGATGCTATCTGAATGAATAGATACAGGTTTGACAGAGGATATCTCTACATATGTATCTATATGTACTGCAAATATATCCATGAATATAGTAGAGCATACAAGGGGTAAAGTTATGGAAACTTGTTGTTGTTGTTGTTGTTGTTGTTATGTGCCGTCGAGTCGGACCTGACTCATAGCGACTCCTCCTTGGGTTTCTCAGGCAGTATCACTACGGAAGTAGATTGCCCCATCTTCCTTCCGAGGAGTGGCCAGTGGGTTTGAACCGCCAGCCTTCTGGTTAGCAGTCAAGTGCCTTAGCCACTATGCTACCAGAGCTCCCATGAAAACTTAGCCATAACCAAATACCTTGAAAGAATGAGTCACTGGGCCTGTGGGCTCAGGACCATAGTCTCAGGTGACATCAAGGTCAACTGGCATAACATAGTCCACAAAGACAAAGTTCTACATCTTAAGTTAGTGAGTAGAAACTAAGGTCTTAAAAGGTTGTGAGCAGCCATCTAAGGTACAACTTATTGGTCTCTTCCCATCTGCAGCAAAGAGGAATGAAGAAATTCAGACTTAAGGAAACAATTAGTTCAAAGGACTAATGGACCTCACAAACCCCAGCCTCCACAACTGTGAGACCAGAATTAGATGGTGCCCGGCTTCCACTGCTGACCACTCTGAAAGGGATTACAACAGGAAGTCCTGGATAGAGTAGAAGAAGATGTGGAACAAAAGTAAAAAAAAAAAAAAGGCTAGGTTTACTGGTCTGATAGAGACTGGTAGAGCCCCTGAGACTATGGTCCTTAGACACTCTTAAAACCTGGAACTGAACTCACCCCTGTGGCTCAACTCTCAGCCAAATAACAGACTGGCCTATAAGGTGAGCAGTAATGCCAGGTAGGTATGCATTCCTTAGAACAAGCAACCATACGGTTTAAAAGGGCAGCATTTAAAGCTAGAAGGCAAGAAGGGATAGGAGAGATGAATGGAAATGGGAAACACAGGGAGGAAGTAGGAAAAGTCCTGAGACATTGTAGGGATTGCAATCAATGTCACAAAACAAAATGTCTATGAATTGTTTAATGGAAAAGCCATCTGCTTTGTAAACCTTCACAAAAATCACAATAAAAAGTTATAAAAGAAAAACAGAACAATCACGTCAGTTTCTTCGTAAATATCATACAAGAGTAACAAGGGTATTTGGCTAAGAAATACCTTGTTGTTAGGTAGCACTGAGTCATTTCGGATTCAGTGGTTAATAGTTGAGTGCTTAACTGTTTGCATCACCAGGGCTCCTTTTGGTCAAATTGTGTACCAAATACAAAATATTTATACCACATAGCATCACAAAGAAATTAAAAAAAAAAAAAAAAAAAAGCCAACTCAAACCTGCTGTTGAGAGTTGCTCGCAGCCTGCAGTAGAGCGACATGGTTAGCTACTTTCTGAAGGACTGCAAGGTAACTGAAATACAAGGTTTTCACCGTTTCACCTTTTGAATTGGTCTGTAACCAGAAAAATACAGAAAATAAAAACAACGAAAAGATTAATATAGATATGTAGCTGCTTACAAAACATATCACTTACAATATTTATCCTGAGAAAAAGATGGTCAATTGTTTATACAAAATATGCACGAATTGCTAATGTGGAATCACATTTTGGTCAATTATACTACAGTGATGTTTTCAATAAAAGAAAAGAGAAATTCTCCACTGCACAAAGTCTTTATCTTAATTATACACAGTGATAGATATACTGCAGTTAAGAGACCCTTAATAATACACTCTCTGGTACAGTGGCAGTGTTGTTGTGATTCCTGTACCCTCTCCTCCCATTTATGCTGCAAGGTTTCCTAGGAAAAGGGGATATTACAAAAAAGGGAAATGGTTAAAAGAAGTAAAATAAACATGAGATGGAATACATGTCGGTCCAGATATTTATTCTATGTACATGGTTATGTGACAGATAATTTGATAATAAAATAGAGAGGCTAAAAAAAAAAAGAGCAAGCAATATACACAAAGGTAAAAAGTACAAATGAATATGTTTCTAAATAAAATGCTTTCTCTATTCTACAGATACACAATTTATATAAAATTGACACTTAGCTCACATCAGAATAGTATTTTAAGCCTATCAATCAGTAAATTAGTTTACTATTAATAATGAGAAAGTTCCTGAAAATGAAATAAAATTTCAAGATGGAAGTACTTTCCAAGAAAATCTGAAAGAGAGACTATAAAATTGATGTCTACTTTCAAAAAAGTTTTTTGAAAGGATATTTGAATACTGGATTTTATCTACAATTACTATTTGATACCATAAAATACTGACAATTATTACTTTTTTTTTTTTTTTAACAGCTTCCAAAGTTAAAGATCTAGCTGAGGAAAAGTTACTTTATTGCAACTTTCTCTGACTCTAGAATAGAGCACAACCTAATTAAAAGCAAGTGAGTAAAGATGTAATCCTGTAATGCTTGCCTTATAACAACAATTTCTCCTTTTTCGGCCACTGCTGCAGGTACAAGGCTCAGAAGACTGAAGTATCAAAGTTATATCTTCTGTTTCTAACACAGTTTGATAGACAGCTTTCTGGAAATCTGTCAGAGAACAATACAGCACCTATCAAGATAAAACACAAGGTCAATTATTAGTATCTTTTTTTAGGAATAAAAATCACCATGTACATTAGATTTTATAGCTTACAGCAGTGAAACTTCATCATCAAGAAATTTTCTTTCCTCTAGTTACACTGTTATGACAATTTCTCCCGATTCTCTTATATTACTGGTCCCCTTCACACTCTATACAAATTATCACTTCATTTTAAAATAAATCTCATATAGTTTGTTTTTTAATTAAAAGGGATGAAAATATGAGAACAAGTTATGTGATTTCCTTATATATTTCTCGACATACTGTAGATCTTTTCAGGGGTCCATATTAGCCTACCATGCATATAAGTGATTAAAATATATGTCAAACTAAAATCATGGTAAGGAAAAAAATGGAAGATTTCAGAATAAAGGAATGGACAGGACGTAATGAAATACTTAGAAACAGAAAAAAGTAAAAAAATCCTTTTTATAATACCGACAACTGAAGAGATAGGCAGTATTTGTATTTAATGTCTTTTTATAAGTGCTAAACTCAGTAAAGGTAAGGATTAAGTAAATACAGAGAAAAGCAACTACAAGTTTCTATTTTGTACCCAAATTCAAGAAAAGCATATGATAAAACAATGCCTCTAAGGTTATGGGGAAAGAGTTCTGTTGGTACAGTTGTTAACTGCTCTGGGCTAACTAGAAGGTTGGCAGTTGGGAACCACTAGCTGCTCTGTGGAAGAAAGGTGTGACACTGTGCTTCCATAGAGATTTATAGCCTTGGAAGCCTATGGGGCACTTCTACTCTGTCCTGTAGTGTTGCTATAAGTCAGAGTTGACTCAGTGGCAATAGGTTAGGATAGGTTAAGGCTATGAGAGATACAATATACACTGTATTTCTGGTATCACTGGAAATTGGTAAATCTTTCTAGATATAGCTGTATGTAACTAAAAACTCACTGCCATCGAGTCAGACCCAACTCATAGCAACCCCTCCTTGGGTTTCTGCCCAATCTGCCTTCTGAGGAGTGACTGGTGGATCTGAACCTCCAGCCTTCTGGTTAGCAGTCAAATGCCTTAGGCATTATGCCACCATAGCTCCCTATATATGTAACTGTTGTTGTTGTTGTGTGCTGTTGAGTCGGCTCCGACTCATAGCGACCCCTCCTTGGGTTGCCGAGGCAGTATTACTAGGGAAGTAGATTGTCCAACCTTCCTTCCGAGGAGTGGCTAGTGGGTTTGGACCGCCAGCCTTCTGGTCAAATGCCTTAGGCACTATGCTACCAGAGCTCCTATATATGTAACTGTTGTTGTTGTTATGTGCACTTGAGCCAGACTGGACACATAGCGACCCCTCCTTGGGTTTCCAAGGCGATATCACTACAGAAGTAGATTGCCCAACCTTCCTTCTGAGGAGTGGCCGGTGGGTTTGAATCGCCAGCCTTCTGGTTAGCAATTAAGTGCATTAGGCACTATGCTACCAGAGCTCCTATATATGTAACCAGGATTATAAAAATAAATACAATAGAACTTTGAAGAATGTGAACAAGGGAAGGAACCATCTGTTAATAAATATTTATATGTGTTGTATCTTTATATCACTATAATGGAAAACTATTGCAATAGAAAATGACAAATATGTGTGTCTGAGCAAATATACAATGTCTATATAAAACAGGAGTCCTTGGGTGGCACAAATGGTTAAGTACCCAACTACCAACAGAAAGGCTGGTGGTTTGAACCCACCCAGAGATGCCTTGGAAAAAAGACCTAGAGATGTACTTCTGTAAGGTCACAGCCTTGAGAACTCTATGGAGTGCAGTTCTATTCTGTAACACAAGGGTTGCCATGAGTCAAAACTGATTTAAAGGCAACTGGTTTGGTTTCATTTCTGTTTATATAAAATAGTGTTAGATAAAAGTAATATATATATAAAATATTAGGTACATCTTGACCCTTATCTTAAGTATACCAGTACATATAAGAATAATTAAAAGAGAATATAGATGATTATAGCCCATGAGGGTATTTTGAGTTGTTGTTATTAAAAAATACAGTAACATTTACGAACATTTCTTATATGTCTTGCATTTCACAACATTATCATCATTCCCATTTAACAGATGAAGAAACCAAGGTTTGAGACTGTTGTTGTTGCTGTTGTTATGTGCCATCAAGTCAGACCCAACTCATAGTGACCCCTCCTTGGGTTTCTGAGGCAGTATCACTATGGAAGTAGATTGCCCAATCTTCCTCCCGTGGAGTGGCTGGTGGGTTGGAACCAACAGCCTCCTGGTTAGCATTCAAGTGCCTAAAGTGCTTGAAGTTACAAAGTTCAAAAGTAGTGGAGTCGGGACTCAAGCCTTGAATACTTAAATTCCAGAGTCCAAGCTCTAAACTACTATGAATAACTTTCTTATCATACATTTACTGTGTTTAATGGCTAGTGCTTACACCAGTGCTGTGCCACTTTTTCTCTTTCTTTTTTCTTATTTCTTCCCTCCTACCTCCCTGTTTTCTTTTCTTTTGTTTTTTCCCCTCTTCCTACCCCAACCCCTCTCTTTTCCCTGTAAGTCAGGAGCTGGTGATCCTACATACCTATCACACATGCCATCTAAACCACTGGGCAAGTGCCACCACCCACTCTAGCACCACTATTTTGAAGACAGAAGGTGGTCAACACCTGGCCAGCCTGCTTTCAGCTGCTCTACATGACCAGTGCCCTGAGACTAGTGCTCACACTCTCACCCACCATCAATCCACCTCAAGACAGGTGGTGAGAGCTCCAGGGCTGCAAAACTAGTAACCACAGTTAGCATGCCTAGCACATTTCCTGGATATATTAAAACAAAACAAAACAAATCAGGGTGAAGCAAACTAACATACAGTCAACAAATAAATATAGTAATACCACAATGTCTGAGACACAACAGACAACTTCAAATCACACACACACACACACAAACACAAACAGGACAAGAGGGCTCAAACAAGTGACCAAAACACAAGGCCAGAAAATCTCCAGAAAAAGAAATGGCACTGGAACTACCTGATAAGGAATTCAAAGTAATTATATTAGGACACTTTCAGATTAAGAAAGAGATTGAGGAAAAAACAGACAAAACTCTAGAATAATTCAGGAAAATAATACAAGAAAAAAATGACAAAATAAATGGAAAATTAGAAACCATACAAAGCCAGCAAACAGAAATCCAGAAGACTGATACTAAAATTTCAGAAATAGATAGTGTATTGGAAGGGCAAAGGAACAGAACTGAATCAATGGAAGAATTCCAGAATAGGAAGAGATTAAAAAAAAAGTACCAAGAAAATTGTCAAAGATTTGTCAAAGAAGAAAATTTCCCTAACATCAAAGAGAGAGAGAGAAGATATATATTCAAGAAACTCAATGATCCTCAAATATGATAGATGTCAAAACATAATAAGACATATAATAATCAAATTTTTTAAAATAAGAGACAAAGAAATAACTCTTAAAGCAGCTTAGGGAAAACAAAAAGTTATGTACAAAGGACAATCAGAAAGACTAAGCTCTGATTTTTCAGTTGGGACCATGCAAGAAAAAAAAAAAAAGGGTGACATATATAAAACCCTGAAAGAAAAAATTTGTCAAACAGGAATTATAGATCAAGCAAAATTATCCCGCATATACCCTGGTAAATTTGGACATTTCTATATTAAATAGAAATTAAAGAGATTTGTAAAAAAGCAGAACGACCTTGTAAGAAATGCTAAAGGAAGTCCTTTAGACAAAGAACCAATAATAGCAGACAACAACCTGTAATTGAGACACTAGACAACATCACCTGGAAATTAACCCACATAACTAAACTATCAAAAACAAAATAAACCTACAAAACTGAAAATTGGGAGGCAGAAAAGTCAATTTGTAGATGAGAACAATTACAAAGCAAAAAGAAGACATAAATGATATAGTTACAGAACTTCCAAATGGAGAAGTCAAAACAATATCAGGATAGAATGAACTCCTTTAAATTTGGGAAGACAATAATAAATTACAGGATAACCTCAAAGAACCCTAATAAACCTTCTCACCAAAACAAAAAGAAGGAAATCCTAAAAACCCAGTAAACACTAAAACAATAGCAACAAAAGAAATGATAAAATTTGTAAGCAAAATGAACTCAACACAAAAAATATACGTAATAAAGAAACCATCAACAACAGAAAAAAAAAAAGAATACCACAGCAAAATGATAACAACAAATTCATACCTATTAATAATTACACTGAATGACAAAGATAAAGGTACCAGTCAAGAGAGTAGTGAATGGATAAGAAAATATGACCCATAATATGCTGTCTACAAGAGACACACCTTACACACAAAGATAAAAATAAGCTAAAAAAATCAAAGGAGATGGAAGTACATATATCAACAAAATGGCAACCAAAAAAGACCAGGATTGGCAATATTAATTTCTGATAAAACAGACAAAATTTAGCAAAAGAGATAAGGAAGCATATTAAATAATGATTAAAGGGTCATTCCAACAAGAGAACATAATCATAATAATATCCATGCACCCAATCAAAGAACCTAAAAATCTATAAATCAAATTTCAACAGAACTGAAAAGAGAAATAGACAACTCCACAATAACAATAGGAGACTTTAATATACCACTTTTGATGAAGGACAAAACAACTAGAAAGAAATTCAACAAACACACAGAAGATCTAAAGAATACAATCAACCAACTTGACCTCACAGATATATGCAGAACACTTCTTCCAACAACAACAGCACAATATACATTCTTTTCCAGTGCACATGGACATTCTCCAGAATAGACCATATGTTAGGCCACAGGCAAGCGTCAATAAATTTAACAACATTTAAACACAGCAAAGCATCTTCTAAGATCAAAACACTATAAAATTAGAAGCCAACAACAGAGTGATCAAGGTAAAGTAAAACTCAAATATATACAAATTATGTAATAGCCTGCTTAAAAATACTGGGGAATAGAAGAAA